TTCGCCATGGTTTTGCGTGTGCCCACGTGAGCGAGTGTACGTGCCTTCTACGGTGACGCGTATACGGATAGGAATCACCAATTTGCAGCGGTGCATAGTTGATTTCATGTCTAATTATCTACGCTCTGTAGGTGCGTCAACACCATAGTCAGCTTACCGTATGTGCGGCCCCAAACCCCGCCGTCAGTCAGTATACTAAATACAAAAATAGGTAGGAAAATGGGGGCCTAAAAGGGTATATTTACCAGTTAATTGCTCTTCTGCTGCTTCTTTTGCTCGATGTACTTGGCGTTTCGGGTGGTCGGCTTGCGATGGCGGCTGCGTCTCTTTCTATTCTTGGGGTACCAGTCTCTCCTTCTTGACGTTTGCCAGGCTTTCCTGGCGGCGCATTTCGGCCGAATCAGGTGGTGGGGGCTTTTCCTCCCAGGACTTAACCGCTTTTGGGCTGTTCTCGCAGGCAATACAGCGCCGCACGATGTCCCGCCCGCTGATTGTACGGAATGCGTAGCCGTACTGCAGCTTCCCGCAGCAGACGCAGCGCGCTCGGGGGGTCCGTCGTAGACCGCTGCAGGTTCAGCAGAAGCGGGTCAATCTTCGCCTCGCATTGCTTGCACGTAGGGGCCCACCATTTTGCAAACTGTGAGTAAGTAAGCAACATATATTATTTTAACCCATTACTTGCGTCCAAATATTAGCCAATAGCACGGTAATGTAAGGCTGGTATTTATTATAAAGCTAAATAGTAAAATGTTTTATATTATTAATATTTGGCTTATCTTTAATATATTATTATCAGATTTCCAAACAAATACATACTTTACATGCAATAAAAGTGACTAAAAGACTATGTATCGTGCGCGCATGCATTCGTCGGGTGGGGTGCACGGGAGCAGATAGCGCAATGACCGTGCAGCCGCGCGCCTTCATTGCACGGTGGCAGTGGTGAGTGCCAGGTGAAGTAAAAAACAAATATTCGCAAAGTCCTTACAAAAAGCGCTGGTCGTGAGGCCTACTTTAATATTAAAAATACTATCGTCTCTACTTTAGAAAGTGTATGGAAAATAGCATCGCCGAGCTCTTACAATGCGGCCTGTGAAGCTGATATTAAGCATATTAGTACTATTAATATCGTCATTACTTTGAAAAGTGTGTGGAAAATAACATCCCAGAGCTCTTACAAAATACTGGTCTGTGAAGTCTACATTAATAATAATAAATATCTCTATTTGAGAAGTGTGTAGAGCTCTTAGAAAATAAAGTGGTTACTGTGCCCGATTTGCAGTATCTGCGCAGCTCGCCTGGCCGTTTGCATCCAATCGATGCGTTTTCGTGCTCGGCAGAAATGTTTACCTTTACGTCTAATTCGCGAGGGCGATAGACGGGTCTGATCGTGCGACAGATCCAGTCAGGTG